TGTGTACTTTTTGTTTTTTTTTTATATTCCAGGTTCAGGCCATTGACTACTCAGGGTTTTTGAAAACTTTCTTCAGGCTTCGTACGCTGTCTACTGGGGCTTCTTGTGTTTTTAAATCTCTACACCAGAAGTGAAAAGTGCAACGTTAGCATGACCTGTAGAGACACAATAACATTTTCTATCTGTTTGTTCCTTCTCAGAAGACAGAAAAACAAAGGAGAGAGAGAAAAAAAAACACTTGGTCATTTTCAATTTACAGCTAGCGTAAAATTTAACCTGTTTATAGTCAAAACACAAATATTTAATCTTAACATTTTGTCTGCAAGCAAAAATGCATTCAGTTTCATTCAATGTGGCATCTGGAGAGTTCTGACATTATTACATCACCAAATAAACAGTGAAACCTTGCTGACATTTCAGACCTACACATTAGAGCAGAGTGGTAAATGAACAGGAACTACAAAGTGCACATTCATCGTCTAAACCACGTTTTTAATGCACATTAACGCACGAAAACATCCAGAGTGCGGCTGAAAGGATGTAACATCTGTGCTGAGAACAGCCCTTTTTTTTCTCCATCTGAATCCAAAGCGATCATTCAAAAATGTTTGCAATCACAGCTGAGCTTTGTTTAGAAAGAAAATCTTCCATTTTAGCCGTTTTAAAAGAAAAAAAAAATGATGGCAAAGCAGCTACGTGAGTTTAGACGTGGGTTAAAAGAAGTAGCTCCTGTGAACAGCCTCCACTTTATTAAGAGTTGGAGACAATTTTGCTGTTACTCAGTTCGAAATTTTGGGGAAATACACTGGAACAAAATAGTGTCGGGAGATTTAGTGTGATTGATGCGCACCTTAAAGGTGATGAGTCCATGTTACCTTAACTGAGGGAAATCTGTGTGTTGTCTTGTTGTTGCTGATCGTGGATTAACAAAAATGTCTGTTATACTTGAGAAAATGAAATGCTATTTAAGAAACCTGTTTTAAAAATTGAATTTAAGTTTTTTCTTCTCAATTTTTTTTATTTTTTGTGCTGCCGATTGTACTTTTGCGCGACTTAAAATATCTTTTTGGGGGGCACTAAATTGCACAAAAATTTCTTTCAGCAAAAAAAAAAATAATAATCAAGAAAAATATATAGACCTGAGTGTATAAAGTTGGATTTATTTATGATTTTANTAGTTTTATAAATGTGCAAAACATAGTGAAAAGTGTTACCAAACAGTAAAATATAGTGATAAAACTTCTCTGCAGATCGCTCTTCAGTTCCCGTACAGATTCTGGGACAACAAAATCCAAGGAGCAGATTACTTTGGTCACATCCCACCAGGTCCTGAGAAGAGAGGCATGTTCAGTGTCTTCTACGACCTCGATCCACAGGTTTGTTTTTCTCTCTCGAGTTTATCCCCTTGGACAGATCATGTTTTTCAAGGATTCAAGGAACTTTTATTGTCATGCCCGCTCACATTTGCATGTTTGTGGTATGAAATTGGTATTCAGGTCCCCTTTTTAAGAAAAAAAAAGCCTAATAAATAAAAAGTGCAATTGTAAGACAAGAACAAAATACAAGTAAAAATACAAGCAATAAGTGTACTCTAGCAAAATGTAAACATTAAGTAGAAAAGCCAAAATTAGCAAGGTAACAGTAAATATTTGTGTAGACAGCGAGGTAGGCCGTGTATTGCACTTAATGAGAATATTGCACATTGGTTGAAATATTGCACATATGTAGATAAAGGGTGGTAAAATCACTTAGAGCTGCTGGTGTTACAATAGGAGTAGTATAAATGGTATTTATGTTAAGATAAACAGCACAGAAGGACGTTCATGTCGTGTCATCAGTGTAGCAGAAAGACAGAAAATCCTTAAATAAAAGAAGATAAAGGAGTGCAGTGTAATACTGTGTGTGTGTTTGCAGGGGAAGCAGGCTGTGCTGATGTCCGTGATCACCGGTGATGCTGTTCCTGCCGTTAGAGACCTGGAGGACAAGGAGGTGGTGGACGAGTGCATGAAGGTCCTGCGGGAGCTTTTCAAAGAGCAGGTAAAGCTGTTATGTAAAGCGTAACCATGGCGGCATCCAATACACTTTTATTCTGAGTTACGGATTATCAGTGAGCAGAAAGACTGACGAGTAAAGTAGCTGTTAACCCTCTGAACCCCAAAACACACTGGTGGCTTTGAAAGGCAGTTTATTTTCTGAATAAATCACCAAAATGTAAATTTTAATCAGAGCCAGAAACCGTAAAAACAGAAAGAATTCTCAGATTTTTAACTTTGTGATTCTCCTTCCTCAGCTATCGTGCAATTCTGTCGGCTAAGTTACACAATTGTAAGCTTGAAACTGTGATTAAAAAAACAAAATCACTTTTATGTCTTTGTTTAAAAATAAACTGCTTGCACCACATCCTGAAATAAATAATCTGTAGTAAGCCTTTAATAACTCGGTCCAACTGGCACTTGACAGAAACTCAAGGAATCTGCGACTGAACTACAGGTTGTGTTATAAAAATATAAATTGTAGAATATCTATAGTATGTAGAGCCACTATTTTGTTTTCTGGTGTCGGTAATGTTGGCTGATATTTGGAAAAAATGTCTGACATGCTGATCTCAGATTTTTTCTACTTTTTTTTTTTAGAATAAATAATGAAACAGATTTAACCTTCATGATTTCATTTTGTCTTTAACTGTGGTAATAATGCACAACAGGCCTTCTTAGAAGTTCTCTCTCCTTCTAGTCATGGCTGTTCTGTTTCCATAGAGGTGCAGGACTTTATATTGTAGCTAAAAATGAACAAACAGTGAGTAAAAATGTGACAGGAACAAAAATGCTTGGAGTTCAGGGGGTTGAAATAATTGTAGCATGACAGCTAATAGCAACTAAAGAGCCCAAATGTGCACTAAACTGTAATCAGAAGTCCCTTTTTAAAGAAATAATAATTTTGACCCTTTGAACGGACATCTTTTGAAGAAATATTGTTCATGCAAAGCAGATAATACCCCAAATTTTGATAATCCAGATATAAAATCATCAGATCTGGTTTAATACTAGAGATTTAAACCTTCATCTTGATTGTTTCTGGCTGTTACAAAACACTACAGTGCAGGAGCTACAGCTGAGATCCTGATTTGTTCAGGGTTCTTACAGGAAGAAAGGGAATACAATAAAACATACACAGCCCATTTTCAGTGAGTACACCATTCGTTATTTGTCTTGTCCGCCCTGACAGGAGGTCCCAGAGCCGGTGCAGTTCTTTGTCACTCATTGGAGCAAAGACATGTGGTCCCAGATGTCCTACAGCTTCGTGAAGACGGGGGGCAGCGGCGAGGCCTACGACATCCTGGCTGAGGACGTGCAGGGAAAGGTGTTCTTCGCCGGAGAGGTAGCGCTGCTTTTCTCTGCTTCTGCCGTTAAACGTGTCCAGAAATGTCTGTCTGTCTGTGTGGAGATGCATTGTGAAGTTTAACATGTTTATTTGCTTTTGATTACGCTTTTCATTCTCTTTGGCGTTTCCTCGCTGCACATTTCACAGATTAATCAAATTTGGATACTACTGTTGAAATTTGGCTTCCT